GTATTGCTGGTGGCATCAAGATCTTCCATGAGGCATCACAAAAATACGCAGAACTGAAGAGAAGGGTTTGGAAGGTATCCTTGAATTGCCATGAGGTGTCAACCTGGCTACGTGCCCAGGACTTGTCTGCTCAGTCACCAGAAATCACACAAATAGTCTATTGTACATGACTATTTCATAAAGGCATGCTTTGAATGCCTGACCTACACTGGGGTGTGCAAGTCCAGGTCGGGCCTGACAAGGCATATAAAAAGGCACTGTGGAAGTGATGATGATCAAAGTCAACTTCCACTACCCAGAGATGATTTTATATGCTACATAGGTGACAAGAAATACAGATCAATGAGCCATTGTCATTCACACAACAGATAAATGCAGTGCTTTGTGTGTGTGTGTGTGTTAACTGAAGGACTGGACATGTCAGCGATGGTCATACTCACTTTTTGAATTGACAGCTACTATATATATATATATATATATATATATATATATATATATTACAGGTAATCGATCTGTTGGTATATAATCTGGGTGGATCCTAGTAATATTAATTATTAAAACTGATCCACAGAGAGCTTGATGTATTTATTATAACAGAACATATGTATTGTTTTTACAGCAAAAAAAAAAAAAAAAACAACAAAAAACAAAAATAACCTCAACATGGTATAATCTATTTCAAGTCGTTCTGTACACAGCTATCATCAGCCCCTAAGTGTGTCTCGGATCCTTGTTTTAAATTTATTTTCAATGTCAGTCTTCCTCTGGTAGATAAATTGTTAACGAGAATGGGTCTGTGTTAGCAGCTGGTGGTGGAGTTTATTTATGGCTAGAACCTTTCGTTGTTTGAAGTTTAATATCAGTTTCTACTATGTGGCGTTTCTTATATGAGCCCCAAGTGTGTTTTTCTGGGATTCACAGTAAATAGTTCTTGTATTACAGGTGTCCAATATTATTCAGTGATGGGAGATTTAAACTTAAACCTGTTAAGATTAATGTAAATTAGTTGAATTATAGATTGTGAGTAATACCAGAGGACCCAATGGAATAAAATATGTATACATATCTTCATACATACATATATTCACATGTCCATACTTATATGCCACTATACACACACACATACACCCCCACATATATACGCACGCATTCTTATGTAATCTTGAATCTATGTCTACATTTTGTGATTAGTTCCCTGCATTGATTATATAGTTTATATTTTATTATCCTGATTTTTTTCTTCTAAAGGACTGAGATTGAAAATAAATTTAAAACAATGCTCCAAGACAGACACTTAGGGGCTGATGATAGCCTGATACAGAACAGCTTGAAATAGATTATACCCATGTTGAGGTAATTTTTGCTTTTTTTGCTGTAAAAAAAAAAAAAAAAATAAAAAAAAAATTATACATATAAATTCTATAGAATAATATAGATACATGTCTACTTATTTTTATATCAATCCTTTTCAATTGTTGAGTCAGTTTCATCATGTTAAATTCCTCAAGGAAGGTGCTGTAGTTTTATAACTCAAATACTTTTGACCTTTTCCAAGATCATCTTTCAGGGTATTTTATTTTCAATCTCAGTCTATTCAGTTTTATTCTATCACAGGTATAAGTTTGTCTCTGTATTTTAACAGAGACAAACTTATACCTGTGATAGAATGTGCATTTTGTTGTGGTAGACAGACAGCAGTAATTATATAGATGTGCACAGCACAGCTAAAAAGATAAATAAACTAACTCTACAGTGTCTGTCTAGATTTCTGAGATGAGGTATTATGTACACTATTTACATTATTCAGACTATTGTCCTCATTTTTGTTGCCATATTACAAGGTTTCGGCTGTTGTACACTCTGGCCTTCTTCAGGTAGTTGGAATGTCACTTTATTTCACTCACTGGGGTAGACTGTTCTAGTTCCACATACTATGTTTAATGGATGTCAGTTATCTCCTGTTAATTCCCGTCTCCACTGCCTTAACCGGGTATTGAACTCGCACTCTTATGGTGCTGTCACTGGATCTAACCAACGCCTTTATCCACTGTGCCATGTGTCCTCTACATAAAACAAACTTTCTCAACATGTACAATACATCTCTACTCCAAATATGACATGGTTAAGTTCATTACTTTCTGGAATTTGTAAGTTCTGCAATGTCTTCGCCAATATCACTTAGTTCTATTCTGATGTTATCTTTTCAATTTAAACGTTTCTCTTCATACATTTTAATTTGTTCAGCTGACCTTTCTTTTGGCTTCTGTCGATACTGCCCCACCTACAAGCAACATTCTTAACAAGGAGATTCAGTAATATGGGAAAACGAATAAAGAAATTGTCTTTTGGAAAAAGCCATACAAAGTTTTACTAGGATTAGCTTTCACTGGTACAACCAATTAAGCAAATTCAGATCAAGACTTTCGCTCATCCTGCCAAGATTGAAAGAAACAATTTTATCCGAAAATTAATAATCCTTGAAAACGAATAAATATCACTTGAAATAACATTTAAATGTTTATTTTCAAACAATTTTCAATCTAAAAAAAAAAAAAAAAAAAAAAATTAGAATATACATGTCGTTTAATGCACATTAGAAAGTTTCACAAGAAAATTGATTTCCTTGGCATTAAAACTAAAATTCCCTGGTTTTTCTTATGCAGATAGGGATGCTCAGAAACAAGCAGACGTGCTGATAATAAACCTCACTGATTTGCAGTGTGCCTTTAAATTGAAAAATGATGATTCTATCGTTTTCTTTTTCTGCAAATAACCTTGAAAATATAAAACATATTGGTTCTATTATATGGCAGCGCACGCTGGACAATAAAATAGATTGAACAGGTGAGAAATTACAAAATTTTAAGGAAAATGAAAACAAAAAGGACACTTAACATCAAAAAGAAACAATTGAAATTTCTAAGGCACATAATGAGGAAAGAGGACTTAGAAAATTTGACACTCACAGGACATATTGCAGGCTAGAGAAAAAGCAGCAGTGCTTAACCAACCTAATGAACTTTTGTAAAAGGTTGGCAGAACATGGTTTAGATAAGACAAAATTTACTAAAATCTACAAAGGACAGGAAATTGTGGCAAGTCATGATCGGCCAAGTCCTGAAGGGACACAGCGCATAAAAGCATATATATATATATATATATATATATATATATAGTGACACACACACACCTATCGTAGCAACATGTTATTTATGATAACATTTTTAGAATTTTCAATCTCTAAAGAGAAGCTGAAGCATTAACGAAAAAAGAAAAAATGTTATTTGATTGTATATAAAGTTGTAATTCCATTTTCTGACATTTAAACCAAAATTGCCTGATTTTTCTTATAAAAAACAAAAATCGAGTTATTTTCCCATCCTCTGATAATTCCGTTTTAAAAATTAAAAACTCTTCCATATTTTACAACTGTCTTAATAAGCCATGTTTTGTGGCGTTTTAAAAAACAGATTTTATCAAATTCCAAGATGAATGAAATTCAACTACAATTTGAAATAAAAGACTAAAAAATTAAATTAAAAAAAAAAAAAAAAAAAATGATCAAGAATCACTAATTTTCTTATCCGGGTGGAGGGGGTGACTCAGTCCAATTTAAAAAAATAATTAAAAGAAAAAAGACATTAATTAATGAACTTTGAAGAATTAATTTGTACATATGATAAAATTAAAGTTTAAAAAGAAAGGGAAGAAAGATCGATAATAAATGAGTTTTAAATGAATAATCAATCATTTGGTTTGCAAAGAGGGGAACAAAGATATTGCTTCACTTCAGCAAAATACCACAGAAAAAGATAAATCCAGAAAAAATCGTAATAAAAACTCGTAAACTTACCTTTTGATTTTTAACAAGAACGAATTTTTTCTCATTTTAACATTTTTATCCAAGTATTGCATAAGTTCAACAACAAAAAAAAAAAAAAAAAAAAAAAAAGACATTTATGGGTCAGTTTCTTTTTTTTTGGAAGATCAAAGCCTTTTTTTTCGCAGAAAAAAAAAAACAAAAAAAAAACGGATTGTAACCGTTTTCATTTTGAACTTGCATTTTTAATAAATTCAAACAAACAATAATAAAAACAGATTTTAAAATAATGTATTGTAAATTATGTTTTAAGTTTCCTACGACTGAGGAATGGTAAAAAAAAAATTAAAATAAAGGAAAGAGTTAAGGAATTAAATAAAAAAAGTAGCCAGTGACATATGATCCGAAAAGAGGGCATCTTTAAAAAAATAAAAATAAAAAAGAGGAAAATAAAAACCATTATGGTCACGTCAGGTCACTAGTAAGGTGACTGCCTCGAACCACCAGGTATTAAAAAAAAAAAAAAAAAAAAAAATCACCTGTTCTTATGCCAGTTAAGCAAAGTTTATTGAATATGAAATTTAAAGAAAAGGGTTTATTTCAGGTTATTAAAATTTAGACCAACCTTAAGTGCGACTTCTTTGAAGTTAAGCATTAAGTTGCTTAATTTAAGCAGCATCGAACGTGGTCAGTATGGGTGACCTACGAACGAAAATTCTAACTACAGATACTATCAAATAAAATAAATGAGGGTCTTTTCATTACCAGGTGAGTAATATTATGCAACAGAAGAATTAGGACTTCCCACAAAAAAAGAAAAGGGCTACCTATGGTTTTAAAATGCAAAAATATATTTTTTTTTAATTACAAGCTAATAAAATTAAATCAAATAAAAAAAAAAAAAAATTTGTGCCACCTAATAATTTTTCTTCATTTTTATTACAAATTAAAATTAAATCTATTTTAAGAATTCTTTTTCAGTTAAAATGGTGATAAATTGAATTCAGAATAGGGGAGGAATTGAAGAAACTTAGGATCGCAAGAGGAGGAATACGAACCACTTTACTCGCGGCCTTGTGCCAGAGTAAGTAGTTAGAAAACCTTCCTTAACTAATCCATAGAGACAGACACACAAGAGAACATTTTGAACAATGATCGAAAAGTGGAAAGTTATTTAAACTTACTTTTTTTTGTAGGCAGCTTCAAAAACCGACTGACAGACGGGTTCAGAAAACGAGGCCAAGGTTTGTTGAATCTGAACCCTGATGAAGTTCGGCAGTGAGGGGCGTCGAAACGATGTAATCTCTCCTCCACTATTGCTGGGACGGACTCTGGACGAAGAAAGGCATTTTGAGGACGGCGAGACGACAGAGTCACTGTTTGAAACCCCAGATCTTCTGTTAAAACCCGAAGAAAGGTTGGTATTATTATTGGAGAAAGGGGAAGGCGGCGGCGGCGGCAATAACCTGTTGTTGTTGTTGTTGTTTGGAGTCGTATTATTGCGACTTTGATTTAAGGATCTGCAAGACGGGTGGTTTTGATACTGTGGCTGATAGCCATTCGGGGATAATGGATTATGACAAGCACCTGACAAGGAAGCAGAGCCACGTGCTTTTCGAGTCCTTTTGCCGCTGTTATTACCATTGGGCTTTTGACGTTCGACAAGTTTTTCTATGTGCTTTGTAGATTCGTCAGAGACATGTTTAAGAATCTTTTGACCATCAGAGTCTTCGACGATGCAAACGACATCAGGAATGGCCTGTAGGAAGGTTTCCAAATCGAAAAATCCAAGGTCTGTAAAGTCTAAGGGCATACCAACCACCTCGTAATAATCATCAGGAAAATTACACAAAGGTACTCCACGTTGTGAGGAAATTAACAACGCCCGGATTTCTTTTTTAACAGTTTCTAAGTTGGCCATTTTTGATGTATCAGTCATTTTTTTTAATTTTATCTTTTACTAGTTTTATTTTCTTTTACCAAAATAAATAAATTATAAAATAAATACAGATGAACAAATATTTTAACACTGCAATGAAAGTATTTTAAAAGGTTACTGAGTCAAATCAGGCTTTTAAAAATATTTTTATGCATTTTTTTTTTTAAAATGTAACTCATTTTTAAACATTTTTTGTTCTTCAACGAAAAAAAAAAGAAAAAGACATTTTTAAAGAAGTTTTTAAACCAAAGTTTAAGAAAAATAAAAATAAAGAATAGAATTATAAAAGTGAAAAAATATATATACTTATCTTTAAAAAAAAAAAAAATGACAATAATTACTATTTAAAAGGGAAAATAATCTAAACTTGTTAAACAAAAACAGAAATAAAACTAAATTTAAATACACAGGTTATCCGGGATAAGTTGTGAAAAATCAGCATGCTCGCCAACAGAGGAGAAAAGAAAAATGATTTAAAGTCTTAAATTGCATTGTCTCCAGCTTTTAAAGCTTTCAAATATAAAAACAGGGGTTTTAAAGACATTGCTAAATTATTCGGGCGTAAATCCTGCAGATAGAATTAAATCCGTAATTGCTTTCTCTTCAAACTACGACAACAACCTCACGTCAAAATTGCTTCCATACAAGTATGCTCTGCCGCATGCGGCAATAAGTTTATAAACGACTAGAAATGTGAAAAGCGGAACGAAACTCTAGTCAAGCGAACGAAAACATTCTTCTTTTTTTCCTCTTTCATCTGCTACGATTTCCTCTTCGACTCTATCAAACAAGGAACAGCTTTGATAAAGTAAATCAATCTAAATTGCTTATAAATCGAATTTACTAGAGTTTTGTTCATTTAGGAAATTTTTAAAAACAAATTAGTTTCGTTTTTCGTAACTACCTAACAATTTTTGGCAAGTAGAGTTATCTGCCGCTGTTTTTTAAAGTACTGCCAATGAAAATGTTCTCATGCGACATAATATTATTAAATGAATTATTCTCATTTTCACTTTCTTCTTCTTCTTCTTCTTCTTAATAATAATAATAATATTATTATTATTTTACTATTTAATTATTATTTAATAATAATATTATTTCATTATTATTATTATCATTATTATTATTATTGATAGTAGTTAATATATATTTTCTCTATTACTGGGACTGTAAATATTATTATTATTATTATTGGTAGTGGTATGGGATACATAATGAGAAAAGAAGGTTTGGTAAATTTGAAACTCACAGGATATATTGTAGGATAGAGGGACAGAAGGAAATGACAATAACTTACTTAACAAACCTGAGTAAACGGACTAGAATAGAGACCAGGAGGGATAGTAAGGAGACAAATATTGCTTAGACCTACAAAGGATAGGAAGTTGTGGAGAGCCGTGATCAACCTGTCTAACGATCTTTTGTAAATGGTTGATAGAACAGGGACTGTGTGAGATAGTAAGGAGACAAACATTTCTTAGAGCTACAAAGGACAGAAAGCTGTGGAGAGCCATGATCAACCTGCCTAACAAGTGGATGACAAAACAGGGACTGGGAATAATAGTAAAGGGACAAACATTGCTGAGAGCTATGGATGATAGGAAGTTGTGGAGAGCCGTGATCAACCTGTCTAACAATCTTTTGTAAATGGATGGTATGGTAAAACAGGGACTGTGTGGGATAGTAAGAAGACAAATATTGCTTAGAGTTACATAGGACAGAAAGAGCTATGAATGAAATGAAGTTGTGGAGAGCCATGATCAAACATTTCTTGAAGGCAAATAGCACATAAAAATGCCATCATCAACATCCTTTATTATCATTATTTTTTTTTGCACAATTTTCACACCAGGATTAAATGATTGCTTCTACTGAAGATCAAGTGGTATTAAACCTCCTCGGTATTCCAGTTTATTTTAAGATCGTCAAATTCTTTCAATTTTTGTAATTATTAGTAGTATTTGTTTGTGTTTCTGTTGTATACACATTTTCTTCCAGGTCCCAACCAGAGACCTAAGGTCAGAAATGGCTTCATGACATCTTCTACTGATCATTTTTTAAAAAAAAAAAAACCCTAAGATCACACACATTTTACATAGATAAAGCTCTTCATAATGTGTGAGCTCTACTTGTGAGTACAATTTTTTTGTATTACTTTAAGGTGTGGGTTACTAGCAATCCCTTCAATGAGTCTCTCAGAACCTTCTCAATTCAATTATTATTATTATTTTTATTTCCTTTGATTTCTGTCGTTTACACATTTCTTTCCGGGTCCCACCCAGGTTACCTAAGGTTAGAGATGGCATCATGACACCTTCCACTGACAAAAAAAAAAAATTACATAGATAAAGCCCCTCGTAAAATGTGGGCTGTACTTGTCAGAACAATTTTTTGTATCTCTTTGAGGCATGGACTTCCAGGAAACCCTTCGATTAGTCTACTGGAATCTTTTCCAACCAGTGCTATGGCTCCAACTACAACAGGGATTGTTGATGTTCCCATGTGCCACATTTTTGAGATTTCTATTTCAAGGTCCTTGTATTTTGACAGCTTTTTGAATATCTTATTATTATTATTATTATTATTTCCTTGGATCTCTGTTGTATACACATTTTCTTTCAGGTTTCAACCAGACACCTAAGGTAAGATATGGCTTCATGACATTTTCCACTGATCATTTAAAAAAACAACCTTTAGTCACACACATTTTACATAGATAAAGCTCTTTGTAATGTGTGAGCTGTACTTGTGAGTACAATTTTTTGTATTACTTTAAGGCATGGGCTACCAGGAGTCCCTTCAATGAGTCTATCAGAATCTTTTCAGTTCAATTATTATTATTATTATTATCATTATTATTATTTCCTTGGATTTCTGTTATATACACATTTCCTTCTGGGTTCCAACCAGAGATCGAAGGTTAGAAATGGCTTCATGACATTTTCCACTGAAAATCTAAGATCACACACCTTTTACATAGATAAAGCTCTTCATAATGTGTGAGCTGTACTTGTGAGTACAATTTTTTGTATTACTTCAACGAGTGGGCTACCAGGAACCCCTTCAATGAGTCTAGTGGAAGTTTTTCACTTCAATTATTATTATTATTATTATTATTATTATTGTTGATCATGAAGAGGCTTAACTTGCCATTGTTTCTGCATTTAGCAAATTGCATTTGCTTTCTTTTTTATGTTCTTTGCCGCTGCATTAGATGTATTATGGTTTATTTGCACTTCTACACCCTCTTGAAATTACCATTTGGATTTGTTGGCTTCTTTATTATTATTATTATTATTATTATTTTTTTTATTATTATTATTATTATTATCTATCTATCTATAAAAGGCAGGATGTGTGTGTGTGTGTGTGTAACGAATGCACAGCCGCAATTTTTGACGGATTTGCACCAAAATTTACATGTACATGCTCCAAGTTAGTGGGAAGGCCAAGACCAATGTTGCATTTCCCAACTCCCATCGATAGTGGAAATAATCGATTTTTTCATGCTTCTAGGACAATTTTCATGTAATTTGCGGCCATTTTCTACTGGTCAGAGTGAGAGCCTATAGCTGGCTGCCACAAATAGGCAGGAAGATTCTATTGGCCAGCATGAGAGCCAACAGCTGACTGACACGAATGTTAACTAGCATGTTAGCATGCATAAAAATTGATAGCTGCATTCATCACAAGTAGGAAAAATTTAAATCTGCATGGCACTTTACTCCAATTGGCCCATTTGCTTGCTTAAACTCAACGTTGATTCTGATTCCACAGAACTGGGTTGGGTGTGAAAAAGTATTTGTTGTTAACATTCTTTTTTCATTTGGTTTTTCCAGTTACAAGTCCTTTTTTAAAGCTGATCGTTTTGTGTTAATTTTGTTTAGTTTTTTTTTCGTAACAGATTTAATGTTTAGTATAGAGCTTAGAAAAAATTTGCAGTGTGAGATAAGCAAGAAGTAAGGCATGTAGCAACATCAGCACGGCAAAGGGCACTCCTTTAAAGGCAAGGAAGGGCAAAAATATTTTAAGTCAAGTGATAGCGATTGCTGTATGAGTTGTACAATTTTTGAATCAAGCACGGGTAACGCTGGGCCATGCTGCTTGTTATTATTATTATTAACAATTGAAGAGAGTGAAAGGCAGAGACTGTACTAAAATAGTAGAAGTAAACATGTTAGACTTGCATTATTATCAATATTAGTATTACTATTGCTATTGCGTGAGAGAGCAGTATGCGAACAAAGTGACTCTGGTGTAGAAATATACAAAGTCCAATGTACCTATCATGTCACCCAACCCTGTTAAGGGTATACCAGGCACATGCGTCACAGCCAAATATGTGTGATATGGTGACACCTGACCTTTGCAGATGGTGCCTAGTTAGAAATGCTACTGCCATCATCATCATCATGTTTTTTAATCAGTTCACCTCCAAGCAGGCCGATAATGCCACTAAGACACATGGGGGTTACTGTGAGTGAAAGAGATAAAAATCTTTAGAATAAATTGGAAATGAAGTCCTAAACAGGAAACAAGGGATAACCCCCTACTCCTGTTCAAAGGAATGGAGAGGAAGACTGTGAACAGGAGAACAGTATTTTTTTTTTTCTTTGATTTTTGTTATATGTTCATTTCTTCCTGGGACCTAATATCAGAAATAACCTCATGACATTTTCCCTTGCACATATTAAAAAAAAACTCGAAATACATTTTGCATGAATAAAGTTCTTTGTATTATGTGTGTTGTGATTGTAAGAACATTTTTTTCGCATTTCCATAAGACATGATTTGCCAGAGTTTCCTTCACTGAGAATATCAGAATTTTTTCTTAATTTTTCCTTAAGACATGATTTGCCAGAGTTTCCTTCACT